TTCATATACGAAGTATATGCCTCAAACATAACAATATTCTCCTTGGTTCATCAAACTGTGATGGTATATAAGATTTTGAGTAAATCATAGTACATCGGCATGAAAAAAAATAAGTAGGTATGTGAAAAGTGAAGTGTATTGTATTCACTTATGCATTTCTCAGATTCAAATGGAAAGAATTCATCCGAAATGTTAACTTTTCTCTACTAATTTCGAATTTTCCAAAAACTAAATTGAAAGACAATGAGATACACTTTCAAAAATAAGTTAGAAATCACCTTCATTGTGAATGCAGCTTCGATCGCAGGTCTGGGGCTAGACAGTGAATTTAATAATCATGTGAAAGTTTTTGAGAATTGTCATCGTGACAAGAGCATGATTCTCTCTTCCGGTGACATAAAGTCGTAATTTCGTTAAAGAAATGAAAGCTTCGTCTAGTGAAGTTAAACTAAATGATGCTGACGAGGAAATAAAGACAAACGTCCTTGTCCGAAATTTTAAAGTTCACTAGGAGTTTGATTGTTTTCCATGTGACTGAAATATATACTCACCATATTTAGGGTACATCATTTAGCGCTTCCTATACTTAAATTTGAAGAAAACCAAGTGTGTGTGAGATATTATCGAAATTTTTTATTCGTTTGAAAGACCTATTGATGCCATTATATGTGGAATATACCATCGTTCAAATATCCGCCATGGGTTCTATGGGGAGCGCATCCGAAATGTCCAATTTTCCATAACTCTAGCGCACAAATCATGCGGAATTTAACCGATGGCATGGGTTATGTTGGGTTTGAAGACCGCTTTGATTTGTGACTTATTTCCGTACACCTGCGACTTAAGGAATTCCTACAAGAAAAAGTCTAACGGGGTCAAATCGCACAATGTCGGTGACCAGTTCACATCACCTTCACGTGAGATGACCATGCCCTCAAATCTCTCGTGCAGAATATCCAATGTGGCATGAGCTGTGTGGCACGTGGCGCCGTCCTGTTGAAACTTCATGTCGTTGGTGTCCAGATCATCAAATTCAGGCCAAAAGAAGTTGGTAATCATATACCTTTAGGGCTCGTCGTTGACAGTGATGGCCTGTCATTCGTCGTTCTCAAAGAAATATAGTCCGATGACGTCGCCAGTCCAAAATCCACACCGAACAGTGACTTTTCGGGGTGCATTGGACGCTCTTGGATCTCACGTGAATTGGTATCGTCCCAAATTCGACAATTTTGTTGGTTCGTGTGTCCATTCATCTAAAAATGGGGCTCATCGCTGAAGATGATTTTTAGATGACAACTAGGGTCACTGGCCAACTGCTCTAGAGCCCATTCAGCGAACATTCTTCGTTGTCTATGGTCGCTTACCTTCAGTTACTGGGTCAGTTGAATTTTGTGTGGGTGCAGGTCCAAGTCACGACACAAAATTTGCCAAATTGTGGTCTCCGAAAGGCCGAGTTCTTGGAGACGATGCGAAATCGACTTCCTTGGATTCTCCTGCACACTGTCATAGACATCAGCAATGTTTTCGGCAGATCTTGCGTTTCACTAACGTACGTGTGTTGATCGATCGTTTACTGAACCAGTGGACTCAAGTTTATCCACTACATTACAAATAGTCCTCTCGGTAGGACGATTATGGCGACCTTGAAATGGGAGAAGCGCGTGGTACGTTGACCGAACGCAAGCCCCATTTTGCTTAAACAATTTTATTATTTGCAAATGTTGAATGCTATATCCGTCCATGGTAATTTAGTAAAACAGACTGAATAAATTACAGCTAATTTGACATGACAGTTACATTTCGGATGTGTGAACTAATAACTGAATAAGAGAAATTGATTTTCGTTCATATCCTTGTAATTAGTTTTTTCTGATGGTTTGAGTTTTTTTTTCCAGTTAGTATCTGAAAGAAACTTATGTGCATGTTTAAATAAAGATATGAAGAGTTGTTATTGAAGTTACTTTCTTTCCTTTTTACGAAGGTCTCACTTTCTTTGTATAATAGTGGGGAAGCAGAAAGTCAAAAAAAGTTTTTTCCATAAACGTATCTCGCCTGAAAAATATTTCCTGAACTGAATTTTGTTATTGTACAAGAAATTATCATAAATGAAATCCAAAACTTGCTTCTATCGTAACTATTCATCATGTTATCGAGAGAACCGCATTCTAAAACATATGTAGGCATCAATTTGGTGTCTGTTTCAGTCTCCAGTCGTCAGTGATTGACCCTCCCATTGAAATATCACCTACATACGTTGAGGATATGAATGCATTAACAATGTGTCATATCCTCGAATTCATCTTAATAAATTTTGATTTACATGTTACGTTATGGCTTTGCATATCATAAATTAAATACAAGTGACTGTTATAAATTGTCATAAATAAATCGTTTAATCATTCTGTACCTGAACTTCAACCTGAACTTGGCACCAGCACTCCTCTCCAGGTAAAAATACGAAGTTCGCATTTGATTCTGTACATTCTTATTTTTGTGGTTAATGGATGGCAATTTATTATATCGTTATATTATAAGGTTTCCAGATTATATTCATGTTGAAGTGACTATAATTATTTAAAAATTTGTGAGCGGGGGAATCAGAAGTCCAAATAAAAAACGGAAATGGTGCGAATATTTTACAAAAAACCACTGATAATATACGTTCATAAAGAACTAGCGACCTGACCCGGCTCCGCACGAGTGCAATACTGATACTAAATATACATTTCATCAGTTCAGACTTCCATTCTATGATAGGAATTGATTTGAAATTACTGAAAGAGTCTATGAAAAATTAAAAATATTAGCTGAAAAACAACAATTATATTAAGCAAAGAAAACTAAAATTACAATGACATAAAATATAAGCAACAATCAAAAATTGAATTAGTAACACGGGCTGAAAATTGAAAAATCATCAACTAGAAATGAAAATTAAAAGATTCCAAGCCAAGTTACTTCACGACGTTTCGTTTATTAGTTGTTTTCGGGTGATGACGGAGCAAAGAAAACTGAAATTACAACGAAGTAAAATACAAACAACAATCAACATTGAACTATTGACACAAGCTGAAATTAAAAAAAATTATTAACAAGAAATGAAAATAAAAAAATTTAAAGATTCCATGCCAAGTTACTTCACGACATTTCGATTGTTAGTATCCACAATCGTTTTCACCCTCAGTTATCACCCGAAGACGATTGTGGATTCTGACAATCGTGAATTCCAACAGTCGTGAAGTAACTTGGCTTGGAATCTTTTAATTTTTCAATTTTCATTTTTTGTGTTAATATTTTTTTAATTTTCAGCTCGTGCTTATAGTTAAATTTTTGATTGTTGCTTTTATTCTATTTCTTTGCAATTTCAGTTTTCTTTGCTTAATATAATTGTTATTTTTCAGCTAATCTATTAAATTCTTTATAGATTCTTTCAGGAATTTCAAATCAATTTATATCATATCAGGCAATGGAGGTCCGAACCAATGATATTCACCACGAAACATTGTCAACCACCTTCAAATAAGACTAAATATACTTGTTAACTTCCACAATCTGAAAAATATAAAAATTATAATGGAGAACTTTATACAAGTGTAGAAGGGCAAACTTTTCAGTTTACCCCGATAAGTTACTACATAGAAAATTAAAGTATTTTTCACAAAGAAAAATCTTATATTTATCGGTAACTTGTCGTATTCAACAATGTTGCCTATCAAAAAAAATTGTTAAGAACGTATCGGAGGCCGGAAAAATAGTAGTCTGTAGTAGTCTGTTTGGCCATGAATTATTGTGACTTACGCGATATACTTCAATCTTCCATAGCATACTTTCATGAAAATGTTTTGTTACGAGGGGAATACAAAAAGTATTTTTTCATAAAATCTCAATTAAATCGGAAGGTTGTGAATTGGAAGTATGATTGTGACATATCATTGGACAGGTAATTCTATAGCGAATCCTAATTTTGAAAAAAAAAATGCATACTGTCCATGTGAAATATAAAAATTGGATGCGCTTTCGGTCAAACCGGAAGTGTCAGATTTAGTTTGATATTTGCTAAATTGTACATTCGTAATATCAAATCAAAGTACCGAATTAGAAAGAAATAACAACGAAGATACAGGGGGTAAATTGGCTCCGGGTCACCCGGTGTCTTGATATTAATGAAGAAGTTAGTAATTGAACATAGCACTCAAGAAATTGGCAAACCATAAACACGTGTTTGGAGCTTTTGGCCTATCGTCAGTATGGTACAGCCAAGTGTAAGGATGGGCAACACTTGGTTACCACTGCTAGCTCCGTGCATTTGTATTTTATTTTTTTGTATGGTATGCATCATACTGAAGATGGACCAAAAGCCCGAAACACGGTCGTGACTGACAGTGACAATAATTTCAACGGGGAAAATTTTGATAAGAAGTGATATTTCTAAATTCAGACTATCTACTAATCCCATAATGTCTCTGAATGATGAAATCGTTAATCATGTTCTATAGAAAATGTTTGTGTTACATGTATGACTTCCAGCTGAAATGGATGGAAAATACCAAAAATGTAAAGCCTCATAAAAGTATTTTCAAAGAGCTCTTGATGAAATACCACCCATGAATTTTTGCGATTCAAAAGTTTGACGATGATGAGGTGAATGTTCATATGCTATTTTGGTTCCCTTTAATATCTTTGTGATTTCCGAGATAATCCCATTGACAATTTTTGAATTGATATAGGTCTATGTCTGGGTGTGAAAAATTTTCGAGAAACAAATTTTAACGCGTTAAAACAATTACTTCGACTGCAATTGAGAAACAAAAACCATAAAGGTTTCATTTTATTATTGCACAGCCAATGTTTTATGATATTTTTATGTCACGTATATACCAATAACAAATTTTATTTATTTTTTCATGTCGGAACAATATGTTTATGGGCTATCTGTGGTGTGGTGCCAACATTACAATTATACAATTCAAGAGGCACTCTAGTAATGCGTTTAAACGATCATGTTTTATATTTCAATGTCTTTCGTGTCAAGTGCCAGCTTTTCAAAAATACATTTTTATGTTGCAGGTGGGTACGCAGTTTTTCCACTAGTGGTCAGTGGTAAGAACACAACAAATTTATTATTTAGTTTTATTAATCTTGCTAACATGGATGCAAAAAGTCCCCCCTTTTGAATTTTAGAAAGGCACTGGATATCAGGGTCACATAAAAATTAATTAATTTTAGTACTTTCTATGAAATAACAATAATGTGACATTACTTTTCACGAAAAGGTGCCATTATTTTTTCAATCGGAAAAGGGTTCTTCGAAACACATCATTTGATAGGTCTCTACACTGGTCTATTTTTGGAAATTGGACTAGCAGTTCCTGAGTGAATGACAGTTTTATATTGGTTCTTCATACAATCCACAAATAGTTGTACAATCATGTAACGAATAGAAAAGAACCCGAAAAATAATTCAGGCCAACCCGAATGAGTTTTCAACATGTGTTTGCAAGATGCAGCCCTGCTCATTATGACTGTCTAGTTCGAATGTGGTTCGTTGTTAGTTATCCAAATATGTGGATAGAAAGACATGTTCTATTAAAAATGCTAGCTGAATAATCTGATATAACGCCCATAGGTTTTTATGGAGGACTCATAAAATCTAAGGTATATGTCAATAATACTTTCAACATTGAAAATTTTGAAGGCAATTTAATGTCTAACGCTGATGATACAGCTGTAACATTCGTAGATGCAACGTGGAACGAAGTATATGGAGAACCAGAAACTGGCATGAAACAAATTCACTCCTGTTAAGTACTAACTTATTACTGGAGTTCAATATCAACACCAAACTGTTATTTTCGATACTTCCACACGTGTTTCAATCAATTCAAGAGGAAGATTAAACTTCCTTTTGAAGATGATCACTTGGTGATTGAAACAAGTGTCTAGGTATTAAAAATAATGGTTTGATTGGTAATATTCATTACTACATCAAAGGTTCCAAACAGTGCATCACAAGTAAGTACTAACCTATTGAGTGCTTATTTAGACAAAAAAATCCATATTTTTTTTCACAAAATAAGACCTACCAAAAATACTTCCGATCTACAAAGTCTTATGCCCAGGAAATGCAATTTGCACTTACCCTGAAATAAATGAAATATAATCAAGTAAGTACTTTGGTATCATGATCGATTATTCCTAAGGCTGGAACAACAACGTAGAATATACGGTGAACAGACTTCGAAAATTCCGAAATGTTCTTGGAAGAGACGTTATAACGCCTTGGATGAGTCAGTCATACGCCATTGAATCATTGTCTGGAGTGGGTTATACAAGACATCCTTACATAATTTGAATATAATTCAAAATACTCCAATTAAAATAATCATTAGGAAAAATCTAAGATATCCAACTGAGTTCTTATACGAAGAAAATGGTCTATTCAATGTGAGGAAAATATACGCCAGTGAATGTTTACTATAGACATTGAGTGAACACATTGACATAATCAATCACACGCATAATCTACTACTTATACTTATCACCCTGCATGTTTTTAACCTATACAAGAATTTTATTTCTTACAGNTCCCATACATTGGCCCCAAATTTTACAATCAGATTCCTACACACATAAAACAAAAATTACTCAAAAATCCATCCAAAATGTATATCAAATACAGCGATTGGCTTGTTTTAACATCACAGGAGCCATGAGAACAACATCAACAGCAGCAATGGAACTACTTGCTGGTCTGACCCCTCTGGACATATACGTTAACGAGGTTGCGTTAATGACCATATTACGACTGCGCACGGCTGGTGCAAACCTCGAAGTAGGAATGGGTCAATTGAGGCTGAGCCTATGACGAGAAGCACTTACTGCGCAACCTCCGCTGCAAGCAACGAGTGATGCAATTGAACCCAGGTTTGTGTTTAATAAACCCTAAAAATACAAATAAAACAGAACACAGAGTCAGATGCTACAAATGCAATACGCATATATACAGACGGCTCAAAAACCAAAGAAGGCTAAGTATGTAGGTAGAATTTACCCCAGAATTTACTCCAGATCACTAAGCATAAGGATTCAGTGTGGAATGGGGAAACATACCAGCGTGGTTCAAATAGAACTGGCTGATATATCAATTGCTACAAAAGAAGTAGCCAGGAAAGGAATTTCAGGCAAAAACACAACAATCTGCACTGATAATAGACAAGCCCTATTATCCTTGTACAGCTTGAGGTGGGTTAAAGAGCACGCCAGGAGTAAAGGTAATCTTTAGCCAACCAAGCGGCTGGACTGGGACTGGGAATTTTTCGACCCAGTGACACCTACGGCCTGATGACTTCGACATTTGCGGAACAAGCCAACCGTCACACCATGCTCAATCCCTGTAGAGATGGGATGGAATCAAAGGATGCAGTCTTGCCTGGATCACCCTGAGCGACCCTGGGAAGCTGGCACTGGATCAGGAAAAATCTACGCTCAAAAGTAGGATTTCTGACTGGCCGTTGTCAACTAAGGGAACACCTCCATAATATTTGGCTAGTGAACACACATCTATGCAGGATGTGTGAACAGGAAGATGAAACTGTCAGGCATGTCCTATGCGAGTGTCCGGAGTTATCGTCAATAAGAGAGTGTCTGTTCGCCGAGTCTTGACCTATACCTGCCGATATAAAGGATATGTATCCTTGTAACCTACCCATCTTTCTGGAAAGGACAAAATGGACGATAACCTATAGGAGGACAACTCTTCGGGAGGCTGTTCAATGGGTCACATGTGGTTGTGGGCCTACACTCACCCTCCCTACTCTACAGATATAATATCCATATCTCAATCATATCTATATTTATATCAATTACTATGTCTCTATTCAACCTAACTTTTTGAAACCAAACTATGTTACCTTATTAGACAGATTTGCACTAATACCTACATTCACTTTAACAGTTGACAGCGCCCTCTGAATGACGAGTGATGCGTTACTAATATTTCTCATTAAGAAGTACTGAAATGATGCTTTTGAACTTAAACTCTGTAAAACATTGATATCATGTCTCGTTCAAATGTTTCACGTCCGCACTGAATGACTGTTTGAATAATCAATTGAATGGATTTCAAGAGGGTTTCATTTTCATCGGAACGTTCGAACCCTATTCTTCATTTTAAGATCAGATCGTATCATCCTTCTTCAATGAAAAGTATATTTTCGATGAATTTCAAATTCTAAACAAAACTATTTCCTTTTGTCATGTGTGCTTCTGCTAAGTTTATGGTAAAGGAGGTTTCATGTAATCTATAATGAAATCTCTTTACTATAAATTATTCAAATTACTGTTCTCTGGTCTTCAGAATAGTGATTTGATAAACCAAAATGAAAAAATTCTAATGTCGTATACGGTCATTGATAAATCTACTTGATGATTGACTCATTTCTCACTAGTAGAACAAGAGAAAAAAAATCAACGATAATATAGCCAACAATAACAGTGAATTCAAATTACTGTTCTCTGGTCTTCAGAATAGTGATTTGATAAACCAAAATGAAAAAATTCTAATGTCGTATACGGTCATTGATAAATCTACTTAATGATTGACTCATTTCTCACTAGTAGAACAAGAGAAAAAAAATCAACGATAATATAACCAACAATAACAGTGGAATGTTGAAGAATAAAATATCAGGTTTCTATCTGTTTGAAAAATTGGGAAGTATTTCCGTGTCATATAAAAAAAGAGTTGTTGAAGGATGAGTTGTGAGAAATAGAAATTGGGTAGCATGAATGATACTGAAAAATTGAATTATGTGATGTTCATGAACGGAAATTCAGGCAGTGCGCAAGGTAGTGGACTCATTACATCACAACCATTCAGAATATTTTCTCCTGTTGAAATTAAATGAAACCAATTTTTCAATTAGAACTGTGGTGAATAATACTGAAGTTCAATTCCAACACCAAACCGTTATTTTTATCATCTCGACACGTGTTTCAATCACCAAGTGATTGATCATATTTCCTAAGTGTGACTAGTAGTCCGGATCATCTTGGATTTTTTCAAATAATATATCAGTTCGAAATTTATACTTTGATTACGATGAAAAATAACGAAAAAGTATTCTAGTCAAAATTTCAGTGTCATAACATAATTTTGATTTTTTGACTAGTTTTTTGTTGATTGCATCACAGTAGTTAACAAAATAAGAATCGACGCAACATGCAAAAAATTTTTACTTTTAATAAAATTTGGTCATATGTGATGCAATTTTTTTTCGTCCCTGTGTGAGACAATCTCATAAAAACTCATAAATATGAAAAGGTAATCAATAATAATAATAATGAAGGTCTTTAATCAATTTTCAATTAATTTCATACATGGGAACTGAATAAGTAAATGAGCGAGATTCAGTATACAGACTACTATGTGTCAAGTCAGAATAAACAAAAAAACATTGATTACTTTTGAATGCACTTGCGTTACTTGGAATATAAACATTGCTTTCACTGAATTCATAAATATTCGATCGAACTGCTGATGAAGACTAGTCAAGGAAAGATTTTTTTCAACATAGTTATTAAATAAATATTACTGGAGTTTTTTCCCAACACCAAATCGTTATTTTTACACCTCGACACGTGTTTCGATCACCAAGTAATCATCTTCAAGAGGAAGATAAAACTAAAAACCACCCATAACTAAAGCTACGTATACTAAACAGGTACATCATACAGGTAGGTAATCAGTAATACCACCCATACAAGTGTACCACCCTAAATTAATTTTACAATTGGCCTTTCTATTATTTACAATATGTCCTTATGTATGTTTAAATNACATCACAAGAACATAGTTATTCCTAAATTATTAATTTTCTATTGAAAAAATAAACAATAGAACTCAAAAATAAAAATAGATTTTACTATCTATCGAGAAATCTGATGATACGCGTCCTGAAAGTCGATAACGAGAGTTCTTTCAACTCAGGTGGTATATTAGTCATATACATATTTGGCAATGTGATAAGAAAATGATCTTTTGTAAAAATCTGTGTGAAACATTTTAGGAGTGAGCAAAATTTTTTGTGGAATATTAATAT